ACTTGCCACTTTCACTTTTGGAGAGACATTTGTCGGTGCTCTGTTTCCTCCTGTTTAGCATTTCTGTAAGGGCAAGGCTTGCTTTGTGTGTGTGTGTTTGAGCTCTCACTCTCTGACATGTAGTAGGCATCCTCACAGACATTTCTAGAATGAATAATGAATGACCATCTTGAAAAAGCAACTTGCCAACTTGCTTATAACTTGATGATGCGGATGGTTAAAATCAGGGTTTTCTGAGTTTCCGCATCTGGGAAGCTTTGCCCTGCTTAGGGATTCTCCTTGGTCACCTGCCACGCAGACAGATCTGGAGAAGGCTGTCTCAGCAAAACACAGAGGGAAAGTCGGAGTCTGTCACTGAGATACTGCTACTGTTTTAGACAAGAGAAGCTGACTTCTGACACTTCCCAAGAAGCTGCCGAATAGGAAGATTCCTGACCTCGGCCCTCTCTGCAGAGAAGAATAGACAGGTGATGGGGACGGCAGGCAGGAAGCCCTGGGGACCTGATTCTATACCAGAGGAAGATGGAGGGTGCTGATTTACTGTACGAGCTGCTCACACCGAAGCCCTCTGTTATGTGCTTAGATTTTGTGGGCTATAGTATGGCTCGTGGCATTGGGGGTATGATCCAATTGGTAGAATGCTTGCCAATTATGGCTCATACATAAACTGCCTTCAATAGTGGAAATTTACATGCTGTGCTCTAATGGAACTAACATGTACATAGAGCCCTTTTTACATGATTTTTTATGTGTTCATTGCCTCATGTGGATAGTTCTTATTTTTTTTGTTGGTGTCTCTCTCTGTGTGTGTACGTGTGCGTGCGTGTATGTGTGTAATTGAGTAGTTGATGTTGAATGTCTTTCTCCATCACTCTGTACCTTAATTTTTGGAATGGAGTCCATCATTGAACCTGGAGTTCATGAATATGGCTAGACCAGTTGGCCATTGGGCTCCAGGGATCTGTCTGTCCCTCTGTTTCTCCAGGGACAGAATCACAAGCACATGCTGCCAGGCTTGCCTCCGACATGAACTCAGGTCTTTAGGCTCACATAGCAAACCCTTTACTGATGAACCTGTCTCTTCCGCCCTGGCTCTGTTTCCCATGTCTTATATTTCTATGACTCTGTAATCAGCACTTCCAATTCTGTATGTTGTAAGACAAACTACAAAACAATCACATGGTTCAATGAAGACTTTACAGACCTCTTTAAGCCGGGCAGGGACACCGACATACAATGATGAGAGGCAAGGGCCTGTCCCCACTGGTTTAAAAAAAAAAACACTGGGATTTGGCTGGGCATCTCTAGGGATGGCAGGATGCCTGTTCATTACCTCCAAAGTATGGAGCTCGTCCATCACTCCCAGAAGTTATAATGAATGAGGGGGAGGTCATGGAGCTGCTGGTAAATTTCCATTTTGTTCTCTCAGTTAGCGACTACCTCACAGTGGGCCTCTGAAACAGCTTGCCTTTAGTGATTCTTTCTCTAGGACTTGATTATCTGAGTCTTCTTTAGTATTGATGAGGTGTGGTGATCTTTGCGGGGCATCATGTCCCTACAAAGGACTCCCACACCTGCTACCATACCCCCGAGGGTAAGAAAATGATGCTTCCTAGATCTCACCTTTTCAGCATTTGAATGAGTGAGTTCATTTAGCTCTCAGTTGTTAACAACAATATAAAAAAATGGTGGTCATGGGAACAAATGATCCACAATTGGGCTTGGATGTTCTCTATTTTTCTACTTGGTAGACCCTTACTTACCTCTCAAAATGCAGATCTCGTAGCTTTTAAGCTGTGAAACTTTTTTGTGACAATCACTCTGACTTTCACACTTCCATTATCTATTATTATATGTAGTGGACTTTCCGTTCATCTAACCCCTCATTCGGGTTGTGTGGGACCTTAGAGAGGGGTGAGTACAATTTATTCATGACCTATTCAGTGTCTAACATTGCTCTTGGGAATTCAGAACCTATCTGATAACAAGAGAGAAAATTAACATTGTTTTAAAAAGAATAAATAGGCTTGTTTCTGGGTAAAATGTCCTTTCCCTTCCGCTTTCCTTTTTTAAGGTTGGGCCAGTGAAACCACTGATACATTGAAATTATATGCTGTACAGATTCATGTTATTTGTTTAATTTTATTTGTTGTGTAAGTGTATGTGTGCATGCACATTTGTGGGTGTGCATGCATTTGTGAGCGGAAGCCAGGTGTTGATGTTGGGTATTTTCCTTAATTGCTCTCCTCCGCCTTAGCTTTTGAGACCTGGGATTGATGCATTGTCTGCTGGGCTGAGAAGTCAGTGAGTGTCAGGGTCTTCCTGCTTCCTCAGATCCCACCTCCAGCACTGGGGTTTTAGCTATGTGCTACTGTGTCTGGCATTTCCCAGGAACATGAGGGTTTTCAACTCTGACCCTCACTTTTGTGCAGCCAACTGAACCATCTCCCCAGCTCTTAATTGTTTTGGTGCTAAGAATTGACCTCAGCCTTGTATAAAACAAGGTCAATCTTCATTCACTGAGCTACCCTTCCAGGCCAGAATATCACAGGTTCTTAAAGTATTATGGCTTAATGCTAAGGTTTTAATGTGCAGTTCCCCGTGCATTCAAGTTCTTTGCATTTAGATCTGCGAAGGCTGAAGTTGACTTGATTTCTGGGAGTCTTCCCAGTCCCTGGACAGACTTTCTCAGTCTCTGATCTCTGGGTCTCAGTCTCTGATCTCTGGGTCTTGAACACACTGAACAAAGAACATCCAGGTGCTGCTTTCACCTCTCTTTTCTTTTCAGACAGACTTCAAGGTTTTGGAGATCCTGCCTATGGGCAGAGTTCGTCTGTAACTTGCCTTTTCCAAGGACATCACGGAAGACTCCCAGTCCTTGGGGAAAATGCTACTTGTGCAAGGGCTCTGTAGAAGTACTCTAGAGAGCAGTGGGCACATGCTGAGAGAGCTTACCTCAAGACAGTGGTAAGTGACCCACTGCTTTTGCGGGTCCTTTCGGTCATGTGCTCAACAAGGGGATCTTTTCTTACAAGTGGTTCTCGACAACAAGTCTCCTGGGAAACCAACCAATTTCATCAGCAGCTAGGAGGCATATTTATAGGGATCCTTTTGAATATTTTTATTTTATGTTTTTATGACATGGATGTTTTATGTGCATGGTTATCTGCCTGCATTCCACATACATGCCTTTGTATATGTCTTTATAACCAAGGGAAGAGTACTTTCAAGCAGCAGCTGGTGGATCTGGCCCTGTAAATTGGACAATCTAGCATGCAAGACACAGGCTTATGATTGTCCACCCAAACAAACATCTCCCACCTTTATTGTGGGGGCATCACGAGGGTGCTACCAGGTTCCCTCACAACTTATTGCCCCAGGGAAATCACAGACCTACTGCAGGAAGGTTCTTTACGTCTAGATTACGCATCTCTGAAGAAGACATAATAATCATCCCTGTAGACCTTGTTGGATGGCTTTTTGACTCCACTAAGATAAAGTTGGAATGTATTAATGCACATAGAAAAATGCATATTCGAGCACACAGGAAATGCACAATAAAAGCTTAATACCAATGGCAATCAGGTAGTCACACATCTCTCTCCCCTGTTCTCTCTTATTTCTTTCTACCCAGAAACTATTTCTCATATATAGTCATCTAGTAACATAAAATGAGACTGATCACAAACTCCAGAGTGGCTCATAAACACCAGGAGACAAAACAGAAAAATTTCATCTAGCTTGGTTGACCAGTAGCTTCTGCCGTAGCTCTTAGGATTGTTGCATTAGTGCAGAAGGTAATAACTCTATTCTGTATAATCCACGGATAGCACTCTTACGCCTTGACATCTTTTACGCTTTAAAGATTAGGGCTGAAGGCATAGATGAAAACCATGAGTTAACTGCCAGAAAATGAAATGGAAGTGCGGTGTGAGCACAGGAGCCAGGGTGCCCCATCTACCAGTGCTCAAGATCTTGCTCTTTAAACTTGAGAGACGCCCTAGATGAGCAACAGCTCCAGATGTTACCGCTGTCTCAATTGCTTCCAGCTGTGTGTAGAAAATCCACCAGCCACAACCAGAAACACTGTGGATTATTTGTCTACTTCAAACCTAAATTATTAAAGTTTAAAACTGACTTGAGAATGTCCTGCAGAGCCCATACAAATGGGTGTGTTGGTAGCTCTTTCGGGGAAGCAAACAACTGGAGTGCACAAACCAAGAAGGTGTCTGGGGATGGAGCCTCAAGGCTCTGGGCATCACAGACCCAGTCTCCTCATGGCTTTCCCTGTCAATTGTCTTGTCTACCACACTGTGTCCCCAGGATCTTCTTTAAGCCTACTGAGGAATGCAGGGTTTTCAGAAGACCAGAAGGGAAAGCGGGCATTGGACCGAAGCAGAGAAAAACAAAACCGAGCCAGACCTGGGGATAATTTCCAGATTCTCCCTCCCCAATACAAGTACCTCCCCATTTTGCTGTTTGTTTTTTTTTTTTTCCACATCCCTGTTTGCCCCAGAGCCATCAAGCTGTTAGTGTGCACAGGAGGGAGTAAACTGGGCCAGCAGGTTGGATGAAATATAAATTAAAATTAGACTTCTGTCAGTCTGGAATCGGGGATTGTTTTCAAGGTCTCCCCAAACACTTAATTTCAAATGAGTCTTCATTTATTACTTCAAGAAAGGCCAAATGCATAATTTATCAGCCACATTCAGTCAATATACCCTTATAAGCATGTTTCCCATGAGCCTTTGAGTAAAACTATGTTATGCTAATTCTATTAGTTGGGTACACAAAAGCTGTATAAGAAAGTAAACAAGCATTAAAAGGGGACACATGTGAACAAAGAAATACTGATCAACCTACTGTCCAGGGTCAAATTACCAAGGGACAAGGAGGCATTACACTTGTCTCCTTATGCTGACAATGTCTCTCCAACAAGAGCTAAGAGCCACTCAGGGCCAGGTGACTTGGATGACTTAGAGTAGGGGGAAGGAACTTACCGAGTCTCCAGCGGCACGTTACTATTCAGCACCCAGCTGTCCTGAAGCTGAACGGACTCCGGTGTGGTGGCCAGGTCATTGGGTGCTGGAGCTGGGGCGTGGATTTGGCTCCGCCGATTAGTCAGGGAGTTCCTGTTGAGGGAGTTGGCCGACGAGTGGTGATGGGACAGCGTGTGGTTGTGAGGGGGTGGCAAAGGGGGCCTCAGAGTTGACTGGCTGTGGTGGTTCGGAGGGCCTGGAAGAGAGGAAGGAGAGAGAGCCATCAGAACCTGCAGACTCCAGTCTCAGGAACTCCGCACCTGTGGGGTGGGGTTTACAGCCAAAGGCCCCATGTCCCTAGTGACTGCAAACCACAAACCAGAGGTTACAGGTGGGGCTTCCGAGAACACCCCAGGGTTATCAGTCACAAACAAATACTGTGCTTTGATTTGTATTTATTGATATGCATCAATTAGAGAGCACAGAGGGTCGAGGCTAGAAAAACCAACAGGATAAGGGAAGAATGGTCCCTGGAATTGTTGGATAATTGCAACGGAAGCGACAACATTCTCAAGGCTGGTTTGGTTTGTGACAAGTTTTTATTCCATTTCTTGGTAAAAACTTAAAGGCCTAGGTTCTCTGAAACAAACAACAAACCAATCCAGCTATTCTTGTAGAAATGGAAGATACAATAATGGTTGCAAGAGGCTTTACAGGAGGGAGGGCACAGAGAGTTACATAGGAAGACCAAGCTTTGGGGTTCTGCTACATAGTAGAGCCATTATAGTCAACAATAATGTTGACTATATTTCCCACTACAGGATGGTCTCTTGAATGTTTCATCAAAGAGAAGTGCAATGTTTCAGGTGGCAGGGATGCTAACTGCCTGGATTTGATCACCACACACCACACAGTGCACTGAAACATCACTTTGTACAATTGTTGTGTGTTAGCCGGGCGGTGCTGGTGCACGCCTTTAATCCCAGCACTTGGGAGGCAGAGGCAGGCAGATCTCTGTGAGTTCGAGACCAGCCTGGTCTACAAGAGCTAGTTCCAGGACAGGCTCCAAAACCACAGAGAAACCCTGTCTCGAAAAACAAACAAACAAACAAAAAAATTGTTGTGTGTCAATCAAACATGGTTACTGGGCCAGGGAGCTGGCTCAGTGGGCAAAGTGCTTGCTGTGTAAGCATAATGATCTAGATTTGGATTCCCAGAACACATGTAAAGCCAGACACAATAGTGCCCATCTCCATCCATAGCCTTTCTACCGTGAGATGAGAGGTAGTGGAAAGGGAATTACCGGAAAATCTCAGGGCAGCGAGCCTAGCGTGTATAGCAGTGACCATCAAAAGATACTGTCTCAAACAAGGTGGATGGGGAGAAGTGATACCAGAGGTATGGAACACACACACACATACACACACACACACACTCACTCACAGGGGCGGGGAGTGACTTTGCATTGAAATCATAGTAGTGACTAGGTAGGAAAGTAAAGCATTCCAATTGTGGATAGGATTGAACTGGAGTAGCTGGAAGTGTTCTTCAGAGACTCCAGATCAGTGTTGCTGTGGCTTAAGGCAAACATGTCTCTTAAATGAGTAGGGGACCCTGAAGAGCTGTACTTTTGGATAAAGTTTTCTGGGTTTTTAAGAAGCCAACAACTCAAAACAAATAGGTAAACACATGAATAGGTATAAAAACATATACGTGCCTGTATATGTTTCCTTTTTCTTCCTTCCTTCCTTTTTTTTTTTTTTTTTTTTTTTTTTGAGTCTGCCAGCCCTCTCTATTAGGTTGAGAGCTCCTTTCCACTGTGAGATGACCCCAGGACAGAGTCTGCAGAGGGCTAAGGGAGATGTTTTGAAACCATGATCCTGGCTCCAAATCACATCCCATCTTGCAAATACTGAAATCCCCTCTCCTTGCAGGGAAAATGCTCACATGAGATCTCTGTCACTGGAAAGGCCCCTGTGTAAATACCTTTACTCAGGATAGCCCTGTCCAGGGTTTTCGTAGCCACCGATTCTCTGTGGGCACAATGTGGTATTTTAAACGTAACCAAAGCAAAAGTGGTTTACTCTTGAGATGTAAGCCTATAATTTCCTTTTAATAGATGCTGAAACATGACTTTTAATTCATGTACTTGAGAAAGTCTATTTTTTTTTTTGAAGCCTCTAGTCAGTGTTGGCAGCTCACCAGGTGACTGCTGAGCCTTGTCATTTCGGCCCCTGCCAACTTTGAAAATCCCCAGCCCCTGCCGTCCTGGCTCTAAGAAGTTGGCTCAAGTCTTTTAAACAAGCAATTTGACACAAATTTCAACTACTTGTCTCCTTATGTGGCCAGGCTACATCTCCAAAAGGTGTAATCTACATTCTGGGGTTCCTGTGAAGCATTCTGTGGGAAATACAACATGTCAAAAAAGATACTAGGTTTGGAGCCACCGGCACCGACGAAAACAGAAAAGGGAAGGACAGAAGAAAACTGCTCCTTGAAGTTAGTATCTCTGGGTTGAAATTACTTGGGAATTTTTTTTTCTAATGTTCAGAAAAAAAAAAAAAAGACAACTAAAGCTAAAACCCAGTGGGAGATGCCAAGGTACGGTTGTATAGATTTTAAATCGTGTCCTCTAAATGAACCTGTAATTCGTGTTTTACATTAGGCAGCGGTGACACTTTAAATACATCTTTGGTGGAGTTTCATAGCTGTAGCAGGCTATTACATATGCCGGCATTGTTGTCTGACTAGTAATGTATTATTACGTCGTTATTTAGCATTTATCTGTCTCCTATTAGCGGGGAGAGGTGGGAAAGGGGCAAAATGATGTAATAATGGTCTCTCAGAAGCACTCTCCAGCCCCTCACACAGGGTTAATGAATTCTCATGCCTTTCTTTCTCCCCTCTCAACCCCCATCCAAGTGCTATCATTATTCCCCATTACTTAGGCAATTAAGAGACTTTCCTGGGGAAGATGAGGCGCACAGGGGAGAATCCACTCTCCCTGCTCCGAGCCCTAACTTTCTGTCTTCCTCTGCCCCCGGCTCCCACCCCCAGCACCCTGGACCACACACTCTCTCCGAGTACAAAGAGGCCAAGTGAGGAATGTAATTCCCTGAAAGAGTTCCCAGCCCGTCCTGCTTCCTGTCTGCTCACCCCAGCAGAGCTTGCCTCTTCTAGCTGTGTGGCCTTTGCTTCACTGCCCATCTGTGCTAGGAGTGGGTGGAATTCCTGTGGTTGTGTGTGTGTGTGTGTGTGTGTGTGTGTGTGTGTGTGTGAGTGTGAGGTCTCCAGAGGGTGATGTCTGGGGCAAGGGGAGAATGAGTTTGGCTGCTACATGGTATGATCCAAAGACGCTAGGCAATGAGCATCCATATTAATTGGAAGAGAGGTCAAGAGTCTATTCTGTTTACCTGAAAGGAAGGCTTCGAACTTTCTGGGGAAAAAAAAAACGCAGAGAAATAATAGTAGGGAAAGCTGAAAGAACACTTAGTTCTTCATTCGCTTTACCCTCCTGTGAAGCAATATGTTAGTTCACTGCGAGGAGATTACTGATAAGAATGAAAACAAAAATTATCTGGCACCTCCCTGATGAAAAATGCTTGCTGCTGGTGCTCACTTCCACAATGTTGACCGGAGTTGCTCATGTATCCACCTATCAGTGGCCATATTTTCAGCTAGGTGCACAAGACCAAAACATAATGATAATGCACAGAGGGGTTATGCCACCACCAGGGAACACAGAGTGATGAGACAATGGGTGGGATGGGCCTTGAGTTGGAGGGCAAGGGAGAACAGCTGGAGAATTAGATTTGAAGGTTGAGCCTACTGCTTTCTAGTTGCAGAAAGCGGAGTATGCCACTCCCTTTTGATCCTCACATTCTCAGTTTTTCTCACGTGCCAAAGGGTGGAACGCAGCAGCGATGACCCACTAAGATCACCGTGGATGTGAGAAAGGACAGAGGCATTGAACGTGCTACCTGGTGGCCTGTCAAGCTACAAACTCATGCGTGGACAACACTTTGGTTCTTTCTGGGTTGCAAGATGATGGGTAAGAGAAACTGAAGCTGGAAAGGAGCACAGATTTCAAGCAATCCAGCCTTCAGCTCTGCTGGTCAATGATTCCAGGTCAGTGACCCACAATGTGAATATTACGAAAATTCAATTGTGTTGTAGTACACTGGACTTCTGAAACAAAACTCAGGACTGAAATGAGTGTGTCTTCTGTTGCAACATCTGCTTAGAGGTGCATGCTCTCAGTGGTTTCTCTAGTATGCCATCAACCCTAGCGATCACCTAATACAGCAGTGGCCTTTGCTGTCCCTTGTTTCTGATTCTTCATTCTGCTGTTTCGGTGACTCTCGGTTTGACCTGGGGTACCTTGTGATCGCTGTGGCAAATGTCCCTCTGATGAGTCCAAGGCATCTTCTGTAGTCACCAGGGCTCTTCATGGACATTCTGGGATTTGCTGCCTGGGAAGGTTATCCATTTGCTACGATTCAAACAATGACTGTCAGCATGCTTTCCTGCTCTCCAGGACACTCAAGCACAGAAGAAGCCCTTCTCTAAAGTGATGGGCAGCTCTGCCGTAGGATGAAACACAAAGGAGGAAACCAGCCTTCTAGAACCATGACGTCCACTCTTAGGTTATATTTATTAGGTTAGCTGGTTGCACATATTATTGGTGCCTCTTCTAGAACATGGGTGCAATATTATACAAGAACATAATTTAAATGCAAATAACTGTATCTGGTGAGTGCTTATAGAGCGGCAGCCTGCTGAGTGTGCCCCTCGTTGGCAAAGGGCAAGTGTTACTGAAGCTTTGTGCTGATGAGTTACAAGGCACCCTATGAGCTTAGACGGAGACCCTGGAAGGCCCAGCCTGGGCTACATAGAAAGACTCTGTCTCAAAAGTAGATGTATCACCACCACCATCATTATCATCATGAACAATGAGAACCAGAAGTTATTTTTAGGTTCTGCATGACCATTCACCATTGGAAAAAGGAACTGTTGTAGTGGGTTCTTATCAAGACCTAAAGAAGTTGAATGGCCTAGGAAAACTAAGTGGGTTTTCAGGAACGATGCTTTCCGTATGTGTAAACACTATCGCTGTCTGCTCTGTGGCAGCATAGCCCGGGCTGCCGGAGTTTAGACTTTTCATGGGACCCTTGTTGTTGGTTGACTGGGACACACACAGCAGCTCTTTGCTTTGCCCTAGGTGCTTCTGGGTTGACTGATGAAGAAGAAAGCAGC